CGCATACATATATTTATATATGCATACACACACGTACTACATCAAGCATGAGGAAAACAGTTGCACCTTGTATGCAAAATAACTATTAAGAGACATCTTAAATTGGTGAAAAGAGGAGATCGATCTAAAAGACCTAGGTAAATCATTCCAGTCAGAAGGGGCTTTAAATTTAAAGGCTCTCCTCCCACTTTCTTTAGCTATATTTGGTACAGAAAAGAATAGATGATCAGTGTCTCTTAGACTGTAAGAAGTTTGATAAGGAATCAAGTATTGTTTCAGATAGGGTGGGTAGTTTGAAAAAATGCATTTATGAACAAACTGCAACCAATGATACTGTCGTCTAGCACTTAGTGTAAAAAAATCAAGAGCAGTGAGTGATTTTCAGTTATTCTTTTGGTTCATATTAACAGCATACAGTATATAGCAGTATGGACTGTATATTACACTGCTTTCACTTTAATACACAGCCGTGATGATAGAGACAAAATTGAACAGATGTGGTTAGCAGCAGCTCATTTGCATTTAAAGATGCATTCACATAAACAACATTTTTTTCCTTCCACTCAAATTGGAATTCCACTGGGATTTACAACTGTAACAAGGTTCGTTGTTGTGGGAAGAAGGAGTTCCCACAACTGGCGAACAATCAACAAGTTTAACAACATAATAAAACAAATATAAAACAGACGTAAAAAACAGCAGCCCCTCACGGACGACTGCTGTCACATAAAATAAAACAAAACACAACATAGGTTCAGGCCTCAGAGATACGAGACCAGTGTGTCTTTCATCATTAATCCCGCCACCTGCCTCACGCCTTTCTCTCACGTCCCTCAACCTCGTTCTGCTCGCCATAACAACATAGTATAATAAATTATCTTTGGTGTATTTTGAAACTTCAGACACATTCTGGGGATGCCTTACATAACATGTATTACTTCTTGTAAAAAGTGGCATAATAGGTATCCTTTAAAACAGATCGCCCTTTTACAACAGGTTTTCAGATTCACAAACAATTTCTTTTAAAATAATCAGTCCTACAATTTTGCATTTGTTACTTACTTTTCGTGCCATTGATTGCACTTTGCACTCAAGTTTCTTGGATCTCCTGATTCTTGGCTAATTTTTAGTCAGATTTGTGACTTCAGTTAACCGGATTCAGGATCATTCAGTGAGAGTTGTTGACTCGATAACAGTTTCAATCAGATCAGTCCAATTCACGAATGAATTGTTTGGTGCTATTTGCAGGCTCATTGAAAAGAATCAGTTTGTTTACGAATTGGGCACCACTGCTGCATCATGGATCATGTGAAAATTTCTTCAGTTCAAACTAGTGACGAGGAACGAGATGTCTTTTAGAGTATGCAGTGGATTAAAATGTTTGATATGCTTTAGAATGTAGTTAAGTAAAATTTCTTACAATAAAGACGTTGTGTACTGTCCACCGCTGTTATTATTTTACCTTGTAATCAGTTAGTTCCAAGTAAAAATGTCAAAAATAGTTTGTTCTGCAAGAAGCTTGAGCTTCACTTTATTTAGATGCCACTTGGCTGGAAGCAGTCTAGTGTCCAAGGCTACATTCGCACGATTTATTGCTCCGATACGATATTCTTTTTGTATTGTGTTGTAAATTTAGTTGTTATGGGAAGTAAAGACAACAGCCCCTCACGGACGACTGCCACCACATATAAACACAAAGCATAAATGAATAGTCCAGGCCTGGTCCTCTCTTGTCTTTCACAGCTGTCGCTCCTACTTTTATGCTTCCGCTCCTCCATGAGAGATACAAGACTTGTGCGTCGCGCAGGTAGCGCTCATCAGTGATCACACCACCGGCCTTGCGCCATTCTCTCACGTCCCTTGACCTCGTCCTGCTCACCACATATAGCTATTCACATTGTTGCTTTAAATGTGGCCAATATCAGATTCCAGTGCGAACAGATCATACTATGACGGTTCAGACTGTGGTTGCATTGCAAAACAAATAACATGTTTTGGATTTAGTACCACATAAGGAAGTGTCTGAATTGATCTGAAACAAATCTGAATTGATCTATGGCTAAACCACGCCCCCAAACACGATGAGCCAATCAGTGCGCATAGCTAACCCAATACATTCAGTCATTCTCTGCTTCCATTTCCATTGAAGTGCATGTTGTTATGTTTTTTTTTTTGTCATTTTATGTTTTAACTACTCCGATACTAGGTATTCTGAGAGGCTGGGCGATGGTGTGTATTTTTTACCCTTTTTTAAGCCACATCTCAACTGAGATAGATAAGTGTCTGCTCTGGATTAAGTTATGCGGTAATGTTAGACCACAACACCAACAAAACGTGGATAAATTAAACAAGGATGTCTACATCTGTTCTACTTTAAGTCAACAGTGTACTGTATATGCACGTTATCTCTAACATAATGTTAGCTTAGAACATTAACGTCAGCTTCTAGCTGCGTTGTATGCCATGTCACTTAGCTTCATTAACGTATCTGTAAATAACCGAGATGACAAATGTTAGCAGTGTTGTGCTGAATGATTCATGTAAATACTGCAGTGCATGACCAATGCTTATCCTCTATCTTGTTGTCTGAGATGATGGCAACGAGATGCGGTTTATCACGTTTACACTGTGACCTGTACATTTTTGCCTGGAGCTGAAGCTTTTCATCGACCTTCTCAACAATAAAATTATTAATATAACCCTCCAATGCATTGTTAATGCCCTTATGTGACTTCGAGATGATGTATAATTTTTCTGTCTCCAAAAATCATCAATTGCCTCCTGTGAAATGTCTCCTACTGTGACGCCATAGGTCAATTAAAAATATCATATTCCATGTGGTTTTTGCTGTTCATTATGGCATGAGAAAAACAGACCTGAGTCACATGTGAGCAAAAATTGGATTTAGGCCACATTTGCCTGCAGTGTACTTGGGACCACTGTTATTTTTTTCCTTAAAGTCCCAGTGAACCGGAAGTTGCAAACGATTTTTCTCCAGTGCTGTGACGTATTTCCAAGTGAAACGGAATATTGAACAGAGGGCAGGGTTTTACTCTAGCGCTCCTCCTCTCCATCTCTCGCTCATAGCAAACTAACGGTTTGAGGGGAGTGGTTAAGCGTTTCCCCACCCAAACTGTGAAACCTACGTCATCAGAAAAAGAAACTGTTCCAGACCGGAAGTAACTTTTCAGATTTTGATTAAAGATTACTAAGGTAAAACATTTTTTTAATATATATTCACTTGCACGGATTAATTGTTCACCACAAGACTAGTAATATGCGCTAACAAAGTAAATAGGTTCAATTTTGATTTCACGGGGACTTTAAAGGTTTTGTATAGGTTCCTAATTTTTTATTCAATCAGCAGAAAATGTGTTTCCTGTCCTCCCAAAATACTATATTACTCTTTAGAAATCTATGGCCTTTATGTCCAAGGTTCATTGCAGAGAGATATGGACAATTAAGGAATTCCTTATTTGGCTGGACTGGAATGCTTTGGCAGCATTAAGGTAAACCCAGCTTTGCAGAATCTTCCTGCAAGCCTTACGAGGGAGTTTGATTTGCTTATGCAAGAAAACAAAGTAATCAGCTTGCAAAGTTAACTTTTCACAAATAATTTGTATATATTTGAAAAAATCTGAAACTTTTGATATTTATAAAGAAATCTGTTTTGTAGCTCAGTAAAGTGCCTAATGTTGTTCATGACCCTTAGAATGACTGCACTGCTTTGGTTGACCAGCAATTCATTACAAACCTAGAATTTATTTCATTATTATAACTCCCTAAAGTGTGTATTTGCCCTAGTGTGTAATATAGCTGTTTGTGAATGTGAAAGTGCTGCAATGTTTCAAAGATCAAAATGTATTGTCTCACAAAAAAAGAACCAATCTGAACTGCCTAAAACAAGTTGACAGCAATTCCAGTTTTCTACTTTTTAGTGGATTGTATCAAATTAACTATGAAAAATATGATTAATTAATAATAACTTATTATAATTAATTATAAATGTGTCTATTAGTTAATATAGTTATCTTGGTGTAGCTGAATTATTATTACAATATTACAAAAAATCTGTTTGTCCAGCGAACACTTCGAATTGATCGCCTATCGACTCTCAGAAAGGATTTTTTTTTGTGGCCACAGAAAAAGAAAAATAACTCTTTCTTAGCATGTAGCTGTGATTGCATCATTAGAGGGACATTGATTTACAAGCAAGGACCAGAATCAAAACTCACATGAAGGTGCACAAAAGTTTTATTTGACTACCACATTCACAAACATTTATTTACATTTTTGTTTACTTTTATGCATTTGGCAGACGCTTTTATCCAAATCGACTTGCATTGCAAACACAAACGCAAAATCATAGAAACAGGGGAATGAAACTATGGAAAAGAGTCATTTAACCATCTTAACAGATTCAGTTTCACAGAACAGTGGGTCTACAGCTTATACCAAACATCTGTTAGTTTCTTAAACAAAATATACTTTCAATGCCTTAGCCGTTGAACGAGCATCCAGAAAAGTTTAGGATAAAGTCTTGATGGTTCGGTAAATGGATAGTGTGGAGGCTGCAATCAATTTCTTTCACGTTGAATGCAAAAATTATGATAAACTTGCTATTAGCCTGACTCAGTCATTGTTGAGGAAGTTACAATAGTTGTAACTTGAGACTCCGGGACAAAGTTCCCGTGGTGTTCCACATGAACAGCAACCCAAAGTGAGCAGAAGAGAGAATAAGAAAAGGATGGGAGGGGAAGGTCACACCTCCAAGGGGTCAGTGAGCCAATAGAATTTTAAACTTTCAGAGGGAACGTTTCCGATCCTTTGTCTTTGAGCATGGTATTTTGCATATAATTGGATTGGGTGTTGATGCAGAAACTATTAAATATTCTTGTAAGAGTAAAATGTCGTATAGGTCACAAAATATAACATACACTATCATTTAGCTCATCAAAAAATTTGTAGATACCAAAAATTTTATAGGTGAGGTTGCATTAACCAGGGGTTCTATCATAAAGCATGCATAAAACGGTATATAACACAAAAGACATTGTACAAGACAGTAATAATAATCATACAATTTTCAAATATCACAATGTCACAATGTCATGGAGATATATGCATATTAATTTGTAGACTGTTTGTCAATTAATTAATGGAAAAGTTCTTTTCTATGGGCCTTTCTATGGTCGCCCCATATGTGCCTTATGCCATTCGGGGTTGTCCCATACAACTCTTACACAGTTTGTTTGTTGGGAAAAGGGTTTTAAAGATAATTTGTTAAATAATAACAACAAATAATTCTGTGTCTGATTTGTCTGTCGTTACAGGATTTTACTATTAGTTTTTTAGTTTAGTTACTGTTCATTTTTAGTTTAGTTTAGTGGAATGTTACAGTGATAAATCACTGTTCTAGGACTGATTGGTTGTATCGCTGACTGCCCTGTATAGGGCATTCAGTTCAGACCACCCCTGTATTGATTAGTGATACCCTGATTACAGTGATCCTGATGCTTCACAACCAATGGCAGTGTTCTAGTCTTAAAGTCAGTGTTCAGTTACTGGTGATTTCACTAAGTTTATGTCTGTGACTGCTGTGTGGTGGGCCTTGGAGCATGCCACAGTATTTTACACACATCTCTTTAAGGTCCTGGACTCAAAAAGAGCACAATTGTGAGGCAGGGTGGTCTGATAGTTTGCTTACAGGGCTCCACCCAACTATGGTGCTTTTTCGTCGTCTATGAGACAGACTGTCTGGCTTTCAGAGAGCTGACCCAATTTTTACAGGGGAAAGGCTCAATATCCCATTTAGTGCTCCCCCCACGTAAGCAAGGAGAAGAGAGAGTCTGGGTTAGCTGAATGGCTTGTTATTGTAAATCTATATTGAATTGGTACTTTTGATACATGGAGCTGATGGCTTTAAAGCTGATTGGATGATGATGATGATGATGAATATGTATATTTGAAAAGCATTATTTATACCAGCCAGGCTCAATTAGACCCTCACTGTCTCTGGCCTCATTCTGTCCATCTCTGTCCACATAGACAGCATGAGAGTGAAGTATGTAGGTTAAGAAGAATTTGTTATTTAAAATGGGTTGATGAGAGGAACGGATAGCAGGGAAGTAATAGAAACACAATATTTGCTCCATGTTCTGGATCTAGGTAGTTTTTCTTAGTCAGGTATAAATTGCACTGAGCTTTCAGTAGTGTCCAGTACAATGCAAAGAAAGAAAGTCAAAATATAGGAACTTCATCAGGTGTTTCCATCATCATAGCCAATGGGCAACACCACGTCAACCAGAAGAATGCAGAGACTTTTCAACCTGCCCTCCCTCTTTGAGCTGGGCTTTGTGTCCTATTGAGAAGCTCAGGTTAAGTAGAAAGAGAGCAGTCAAACTTGCTGCACCTTCCCCAGAGACGGCCGGTTCAGAGATACCAGTTTCCTGTGGAAACAGACGCAGTGGATGTTCCTGAGCCATCCCTTCCTCTCATGGCTGTTGAAGTGTCTCTTTCCTGCTCAGTGAAGTCTATCAGTCCAGTCATGGTCACCGAGGCCATCTCAGAGCCCACCGTTTGTTCTGCAAAGGCCGCAGAGTACACTGCAGCACCCCCTGATCACCTGAGTCTGCGGCAACACCCTCAGAGATGAATGATTCTACATTTTCTCTACCTCACAAGCCAAGGAATAATAAGGTTTTCGCTGTTTTACAGTCCACTGTTCTTCCAGAGTCTATCCTAGAAGAAGAAAGTCCAGTGTCGGTTCCAGCCCCTGAGAAAAGTCGACTCCAGTGTCGGTTCCAGTCCCTAAGCAAAGTCCAGTGTCAGCTCCAGCTCCTGAGCACAGTTCAGTGTCGGCTCCAGCTCCTGAGCACAGTTCAGTGTCATTTCTTCCGTCATGGACAAGAATGCCAGACCTGTGTGTCATGTCCACGAAGGATATCCCTGAGCCAGTTACTCTTCCTATCTTCCCATCTATCAGAAGCCACATGATAAACTTCTACCTGTCCCAGGCACAGAGGCCATCCCAGAGTCGTCTGCACTACTTGTCAGGGCCATAGAGGTTACTTCAGATCTGTCTTTTCACCCTGCCATGACCACAGTGGCTGTTTGCCCTTCCTGTTGTACCAACAATGGTCTCTCTTGCCAGTCATGTCACGCACATATAGGTCATCCCAGATCAGCCCTCTCTCCCTGTAATGTCCATGGAGGTCTTTCCCCGAGCAGCCTGCGGTCACTGCCATGGAGTCCTCTCCAGCCTCAAAGCAGCCAGAGTCCACTTCAGCCCAGAGCGACCAGAATCATTCATGCTAGTTGGTCTGTTCCCAAGGCAACAAAGTTTATTCCCAAGTCATCTCTAGAGTCTACTCTATTAGCTCTGGAGGGTGTTTCTGCAGCCCCCAAGGGCATTTCTGAGTCTGTTCGTGGCCCCAGAGAGAATTCCTAAATTTAATTATATAGTCCACAAAGATGTTCCAGAGTCAGTCCCTGAGTTTGTTCCATCAGCCCCAGAGGACGCTCCTGAATTAAATTATGCAGCTCCCAATGGGCCTTACAGAGGTGTTTGGTCGCTTCCCTGCTTGGATCCTAATAGGGATGTAACGATTCACTTGCAACCGGTTGAAAATCGATAAAAATGTGTGACGATTCAAGTAGGTTGAAGTAGGCAGCGAGCAAACACTGGCGTGAAGCTAGCAAGTGTTTTCACTTCATTCATGGAACTTGAGTTTGTGTGAGCCAAGCTCAAATTCCATAGGAATGAACTGAAAACGCTCTGTTTGCTCCGCTCGCGCCGCACCAGTGTTGGATATTACTTTGGTCACTTTCACAATGATTCCTGAAAAGAGAATACAAGTTTGACTCCCAATGCATGCAGACCGTATTCAAGATGTTATACTGTAAGTTACTGTGTGTTAATGCGGTTTTCATTCCCAATAACTGACCGTGTGAACGTAGCCAAGTCTTAGGCTCAATCCCAATTCACCCCTTGGCACTACCCCTTGTTTTCGAGTGTACCCCTTGGCCCTTAAAACAAGAGTTACAAGGGCCAAGGGGTTGAAATATTCCCTTACGAAATGGACCCTTTATGAACCCGATAAGTCATCAGTTGTCGGCGATGGCTCTGACGTTACAGAGTTTTTACAGCGAAGCTGCTCTTAACTTTGAGGAAACATGATGATTCCTTCCTCGAAATGGATATCTTTTCTGATTTGGAAAGGTAATTTCTTATACAATTTCTTAATTTAAATATTATTCTTAATTTAAGTATTATTATAAGAGTAAATAAAGTGCATGGTGGTGTCATCTGGCACTAAATTTAAATGTTTAACCGTTTGCGAAGCCATCTTGCCGGTGATTTGCGATGCATTCTGTGAACTTTTGTTTCGAAGGCTATGTAGCCCTACCCCTTCACCCTACCCCTCGATCTCAACAAGAATCGGGACTCCTCCCCCTAGATGTGAGGGGTAGGGCCAGGGGTAGGGGCAAGGGGTGAATTGGCAAGTGTTACAGCTTATCCTCAGTCTAACTAAAGGCTCCACTCGTCAACACAGTGCAAACCTGCAACATAGTAGAAACCCCTATAAGTTCCTACAGAGCATAACAATAAAGGGTTGGTTATAGCCTGGCTGCGCCCTCCTACGCACTTCCGCTCAATTTCATTTTCCTTCAGTACTACGTCGGGGACTGCTGTATATTCTTAGGTTTCCAGAAATCAATTTTTTTTGTAGGACCAATCAGCGAATAGAGGGAGTGGCTGAAAACAATGATGTTGATGTAGCCCATCAGTTTCAGTTCAGCAATGGGAGTGGAGAAAGACGTGAGAAAAGCTATTCGGTCCGTTGTTGGAAATATACCGAATTTAAAGCCAGAATAAGAAAAAGGTTTGCGAAGTTTTGTGGGTGGCCATCCTCCCCACTGGATTCATTTATTAGAGTTTGAGCTGGGCAGCTTGGCGTGCACGATGACCGTGACATTTTGGACGGACGCTTTAGCCTGGTGTTCGGAAGCCCCGAGTCCTGGCTGCTAAACTGTTGTTGAAGATCCAAGTCCAAGAGTCATGTCAGTAGCTCAGATTCCCAACAGTAAATTTACTAATTCTTGTGATGAATAGAACATTTTGAGCCCCTTTGTGTACTCGTGCAGGAGGTTGGTGTGTCAGATTTACATGTTGTGAATCATTCAAATTTGTTGTGATTTTTTCATAAATAAAAATGTGAAAACACATACTTTGAAGACCATAATTTGAGTTTCAGTTTTAGATGTCAATGGTTAATTTGTTTAAATAAAAACTAAATGTCATAAATAAAAAATCTACAAACACATACTTTGAAGACCATAATTAATTAAGGTAATTAAGAAACAATAAATCATAATATGAAAAATTGTTGTCTGTTACAGATCTGCAGTTAGAAACAGATCATTCACTGTACACCATTTGCGGCAGATCAGAAACGACCGCAGCGGCGTCCGAATATTTTTAATTAGATTAGACACAGCTTCGACAGTTGAATGAATACATCACTGTCCTATCTGATCATTCGGACTTGTTGTTTCCAGCCGTTTCGGCGCATGACATACGTCACGACCACACGTTAGCGATTGGCTATGGCAGATCGTGAGTGACTCTGGGCAGATCCAATAGTTTTGAACTTTAACAGAGAACCCGCCTACAAGGAAGTAAATGTTTCTCATTGGAGAGAGGAAAGTGGAGAGTGGACTCTGTACAAATGAAATCTACGAGAGTCTGGTTGAACCAGGCTAGGTTAGTTAAAAACATCGTCAAATACCCCTTTTCCACCGAAAAAAGAACTGGTTCGGAACTGGTGCTGGTTCAAAGTTGGTTCGGAGTTGGTTCAACTTGCGAACCCATTCAGAACCTGTTTGTTTTTCCACTGACTAGAGCGCCTAGGGAACGACGTTGTTACATCACTGTGCACGTCGCTAGAAACCCTTGCAGATACATTGCTTTAGGATTATCTCTAACTCGTGTACCAAGAAAACTTTAAAAACAATTGAAATATGTAAGTCTTTTAATCTTTTCGTTTGATATGTAATCTTTTCTGATAAGTTATGTACCCCTGTCTTGTGTCTTTTTTCTTACCATTTATTTGTTCTATATCGTGACTGTTTTCTTCTTTGCTTATGTTTCAAATAGAATAAATAAATAAATAAAAACGCTTGCGTGTTTCTGCAGTTTCTCCTGGCTTTGCGATGGTCAGAAAAGGTGTTTAGAACACATCTAAACCCGCCCCAGCCCACGACGTAAACATGACGTGCTAAAAGAACGGTTCTAGTCCAGCAAAGAATTGGTGCCGCTTTGGAACAGTTTTCCCGGCCGAGAACCGGGTCTTTGGCTGTCAATACACAAAGAACTGGTTCGCGCGCAGGCACCGGCTCCGAACCGGCTCTCAAAATGCTTTGGTGGAAAAGGGGCTGAAGTAGTCCGTGTGACATCAGTGGCTTAGTTAGACTGTTTTGAAGCATTGAAAATACATTTTGGTCCAAAAATAAAAACTATGACTTTTTTCAGCATTGTATTCTCTTCCGGTCCAGTTGTCAATCCGCGTTTACGAGTCCACAGTGACGTTGATGACGTAAGACGCTGCTGACGTTTTCTGGTCCGTGTATTCGGGTTTAAATAAATATGGCTGGGCAAAAAAGTGTAAGTCTTCCTCTGTGTTGAAATCCTTAGACATGTTTGCAAAGATTGTTTTGTTTACAGCGTCCGTCTCACTCAGGTGCACCAGATAACATGTCAGCAGCGTCACTGAACATGGATTGACAACAGAACCGGAAGAGAAAAAAATGCTGAATAAAGTCGTAGTTTTTGTTATTTTTGGACCAAAATGTATTTTCGATGCTTCAAAAAATTCTAACTAACCCACTGATGTCACATGGACTAATTTGATGATGTCTTTATATCCTTTCTGGACAAGGACAGTATACCGTACATATACATTTTCAAAGGAGGGAGAGGGTAGGTTAGTGTACATCAAAAAATAAGTTCACTAAATTGAAACATTATTATTGGTCAGAAGTTTTCTAGTTAAAAAAAAAAAACATGTTAACGGTCTATAAAATTTTCTAGGATTATTCTAAAATGTATTATACAATTTACACTTATTTTCTTAATGTCAAGTACTTTTCAGTTGCTTAAGCTTTTGTTTATCACATTTATATTCAGAGGTGGTTACACTAGTTATAATTTAATAATAATAATTACAAAATAAGAGAAACATTTTATCCTGAAAATTATTGTGGGTGCCAATGAAATGTTTTAGTTTTTGTAAGGATTGTGAGATGGGACAGTTCTTCTTCACAATTTTGTCAATTTTGAGACAGAGAAACTGGTCTTAGGAAACAGAGGACAGAGATGTTTAATCACTCCAACTCAAAATCATGTTGCCTTAAATATTTTCTGCTTTTCTCCATGATAAAAGCAAATTAACAGTATCTTTGTAGCAAATCTCTAGTTTTTTTTTTGTTTGTTTGTTTTAAATTTACTAAATTTATTTAATCCTTCTGGTGTTTAAATATTATATTTTCCAAGTGCTCAAAATCAAGTGCATATAGTTTGGAACTATTATTGCCATTTTAAACAATCATTTCCTAGTATGCTGCAGCAAATGTTGCATATAACTGAGCTTGGCT